CTGTCCCAGCCCGGGCTCCCTTTCTTCCGCCAGGCCCCAGCTGTCCCGACGGTGGGGCCGAGTCCGACCCCCGGGACCCTGCTCCCACGAGGCCGAGGAAGGCTGCGCTTGGGGCACCCAGCCGGCCCCCGCAGTCTCCAGACTGGGAACCCGGGGAGGTTGTCGGAGCGATGAGCCTGGAGCCGAGGACTCGGATCCTGGCCACGTGGACCCGGCTCCTGGTCGCTGCTGCACTGACATCCAGCTTGCTCCCTGGAAGTTGCCTGTTCCTGGCTCTCGGCCACCTGACAGAGGCCATGCCTGGCCTGGCCTTACCCCATGGCTTCTGTCCCTCTGACTCAGGTCACCTCACCTATGACGATCGTGGGATGTAGCAACCCAAAGTGACTGTTTTTAGTCACAGGTGGTGGTGCACAGCTGCAGTCACAGCTACCTGGGCGGCTGAGGCAGGAAGATCAAGTTTGAGGTAATGGCATGAGACCCTATTATAAATAAAAAGAGCTGGGGTCCTAGCACAGTAGTAGAATACAGCCCTGGCTTAGTATGTGAAAAGCCCAGTGTTCCATCCCCGCGCTGAAAAAATAAAAAAGCTGGGCTAGGCGGTGTGAGACCTCAGTAGCGCCCCACAAAGAAAGGTTGCTGTTTTAGGTGGAGGCCCCAACCAACCCAGACTTGTTACTTAAGTCTTACTTTTTTTTTGTATGGGGGATCGAAGTCAAGTCCTTGCACTTGCAGGGCAGGCAAGCGGAACCACTGAGCTAAATCCCCAGCCTCTGAGTCTTAATTTTTGCAAACATCTTGGTTGCTATTTGAACAAAGCCATTGCTCTTGTAAGCAGTGGGGAGGCTGAGCAGGCAGGCGGCTGCTAACTTGGGGTGTAGCCTGGCCCCAGGAGTGTCCAGAGGCCTCTGTGCTCGGTGTTCCTTCTGCCTGGGACCCTGCTCCCAGTGCACCTCTGTGCTTCTTGTCCCATGTCCACTGTCATGTCCTTTGGTCCTGTCCTGTTTGCCACTTCTGAATCCTGGTAGGGCTGGGAAGCGTCCATGCAGTGGGTGGAGGTCAAGGCATGGGTGCTGCTAGTTCCCAGCCAGAGCCTACTTGTGTGGAAGGGATATCCTGACTCGCCCAGGTGCTGCTCCTCCTGGAACCCTGAAGGAACCTCGCCTCCCCTGGAGCTGTAATTCTGTGACTGCAGGTGTCACCTGGAAAAAGCCCCCTTCCAGGGAGAAAGCTCTCTGTCTTTTCACTGTTGTTTTCCCAGCATTAGCTTGGGCTTCATGTCAGATCACAGGAAATGCCAGGCAACCCTTTCTCCACCCCAGTGTGGTTGGTGTGTGGATTCTGACTGTGGCTGGGCAGGTGGGCTCCACAGCAGGAAGACCTAAGCACACACAAGCATGGACAGGAAGGGCCAGAGAAGAAAACCCAGGAAGCACTGCCCATGCCTCGGGCCTGTACTGGTGCCTGTCCTCCCAGTTTTCCAGCTGCTTCCTTTGCAGAGAGGGTGAGAGCTCTACCCAGATGCCACATAGAGGTCACTCATTCTCTCTTGTCACCCCATGGTCACCCTGCCCCTGCTATGGCTGGATGAGGAAGAGGAGCAGTACAGTGGAAGCTGTCCCCAGGGCCTGGGCCCAGGCCCAGGATGGTGGAGAAATTGGCCTCTGGGGCGGGATCTAAGCTGGTGGTGACTTAGGGAGGTAGGAATCCAGAGGTGACCTGGTCAGAAAAGTCCAGGACATGGGGCCGGGCAGCTGGGGTGGGGAGCAGCGCCAGGGGCATCAAGGGAGAGAGGGGAGGCCTGGCTTCTTCCTCCAGCTTTGTGCGTGGCTCTGGTCTAGATGCTGGACCCCTCCTCCAGTCCCTGCTCCTGACGGGCCCAGGGCTGCACAGGTGTGAGAAGGGCTGTTGCCTGGAACAACTACTGGGAAGAGCAGAATGGGTGTCAGTGGAGCTGGGCACCATTGGTGGGGAGCTCTGAGCAGAGGGGAGACCCAGTCTGAGCCCTGTGTTGTGTCCAGAAGGGAAATGGGCTGGGAAGCCCTGAGGGCAGCAGTGACTTGGTCACATGGGGGTGATATTTAAAGTGTCTGGGTCCTGACCTAGCCCTGGCACGACATGCATAGTGCTCAGAGGGCACGGCCACAGCAGTACCATGCATACAGCTGTGTCACAGCTGAACCATTCCCTGTTGGTGACCCTGGCTGGTGGGTTTGTTTTGCTATACTGGGGACTGAACCTAAGGACAGTAAGCTTATTTATCTATACAATTCCAGTGCTGTATTTGTACTTATTTATTTATAGTGATGCTGGGAATGGAAACCAAGGTGCTATACTCCTGAGCTACATCCTCAGCACTGTCTGATTTTTCATCTTAAGACAGGATCTCACTAAGTTGCCCAAGCTGGCCCTGAACTTGTGATTCTCCTGACTCAGCCTCCCAGGTGTTAATAAGGATTATAGGCAGGTGCCACCACACCTGGCTACTGGCATCTATGTTTTTTTTTTTTGTTTTTTTTTTTAAGGCAGGCTCTCACTATGTAGTTCAGACTGCCCTGGAACTCACTATGTAGCCCAGGCTGGTCTTGAACTCTCAGCGGTCCTTCTGCTTCAGCCTCCTGAGTGCTGGGATTATAGGTGTACACTACCAGGACTGGCTACTGGCATCTAGTTTTATACTTTTTTTTTTTTTTTTGTGGTACTGGGGATCGAACTCAGGTCCTTGCCCTTGCGAGGCAGGCCACCAAACCGGCTGAGCTAAATCCCTGGCCCTGGCATCTAGTTTTAAATAAGAGAAACTACATGTACTGATTACATGAATAAATGTAAACAGCAGCCACTTTTAAAATTAGAACAGTCCTTTCCTACAATATTTGTTTTCAGTAATTTTGTAGAAACAGTTGTCAGGTGTTAAGTGATGTTGGTAAAAGCTTTGGCTTGGTATGGTGTTGAGCCTGAGAAAAGATGACTCGCCTATCTGAAGTGGATTACTAGTAGTTGGGGGCATCCCAAGACTAAAACTCTTGTCTGTGAAGTAGGGTTGTTAGGCCCATGGGTTAGAACTGGGCACAACCAAGTGGGCGCTTATGTAGAAACCCAATATTGCACAGAATTTTAGCAGCTCTGGGTGGTGACTTGAATTTGGGAGCTTGCATCTCCATCATTTGGGGTGTTCTTGAGCTTCTCAAGAGTGAGTGCCTGGGCTGATTCCAGTGCTTGCTTGGGGAGGCACCTCCCAGGATGCACCCCGAATTGATTTTGTGTTGTAGTTGGGGCCGCGTTTGGTTTTTGAACAGCCTGCCTGGTGCTGTTCAGACCCACTCAGGTCTCACTGCTGTCTTTGCCCTTGGCCTGCTCCTCCTGCCCAGGGCAGTGGCCCCAGGCCTTAAGCCCCAGCTCTCCAGTAGGGCTGTTCTCCAGGTTTCATTGCCATTTTTAATGTTGGGAGGTGGTTATTCTTGAGAAGCAGGCATGGGCTTGTGGTCATTAAGCCTTCTGCCCTCTGTCTCTTTGGGAGAGGAGATTGTGTCTATGCTCAGAAGCCAGGTGTGCAGCGGATGTGCTTTTATCTGTGCAGGCCACTAGGCCCAGAGGTAATGGCCGTGCGGTCTGTTGTCACAGATGGGCCTTGCCTGACCTTGAATGCTGTGAGTGGAATCATTGCCTGAGCTGTTTTGTGTCTGGGAGACCTCTCATGTGAAGTAAGCAGTCCATTTGGGAATGGATTATGAGACCGCACATTCCTACAGGTCTGTCACTGTGAGTGATGCTGCTTTGTTCTTAGCTCACCAACCTGTCAGAATTTTTACAGTGAGCCAGTCTGGAATGTGAAAAGCCTCAGAGTGTATCGATCCCATGTTTCTTGGTGTAAGCCACAGGTAGGTGCAGCCTGGGCCACCCGGCCCTCACACTGTCTGTCCCATGTGTTTGGTGCTGGCCGTGGTCCCTCCTCCTTGTAGACTGCAGACGGGCAGCCCCAGGCAGCCCCAGAGCAGCTGTGAGGTGCAGTGTGCAAGTCGCTTCCCATGCAGCAGGTTGGGTGGAGTGGGAAGGTCGTGTGGGGTTTTGGCCCAGTGCTTGTGAGGGTTCGTGAGGCAGCACAGTTCTTGTTATGATGTCTTTCTGAAGGAGACTCAGATCTGCATTTAAGCCCGCAAGCACCGAGAGAGCCCTGAGGTGCAGTATTGGTGCCAGGTGATGCCAGCTGACTGTTCCAGTCTGAGGTTGTCTGGGCGGCAGTGGTGGTCTCTGGGCTGCTGAGATGGTGCCCTTGACATCGCTGAGGGCATCTGCAACCAGGACTGACGTGAAGGTCAAGGCCCCGCTCTCTCAGTGGCCCTTTTATCACACAAGAGCAAAGAAGGCCAGGAGGCAGAGGTGTCCCCCCAGCGCCTGCGCTGCCAGAGGAAAGGCCCTGAAAGGAAAGGCCTAAGGAAGTGGAAGAGGAAGACGGCCCCATCCCCCTGCCCCCATGCAGCCATCTTTAGTTTGTGTTATGTTCTCGCCCTGTCCATGAGAAACATGGCTACGACATTCAGAGCTCTTCATGTCTTACACTGTTTTATCTGATGTAACAAACCTCAATTGGGGTTTTAACCTAAAGAATGATACTTATAAATAGAAAATCCCTCCATCTGAAGTGGCTTAGAGCAGTGCCTTTCAAACTATTAGTGGTTCATGAGATCAATTTAGCAACTTCTAACCAGAGAAAAAGAAATATGATAGGAAACTCAGGATACCCTCATGCAGAGTGGCACAGTTTTTGTTTTGTTTTGTTTTGTTGGTACCAGGGACTGAACTTGGGACCTAGTGCTTGCGAGGCAGGTGGTGGAACCACTGAGCTAAATCCCCTGCCCCAGAGTGGTACCGTTTGATGAGCCTTTGGCTTTTTTTTTGTTTGTTTGTTTGTTTGGTATGGGGGATCAAACTCAGGACCTTGTATTGGTGAGGCAGACGTGCTGCCACTGAGCCACATTCCCCAGCCTTTCCCTTGGCTTCTGTTACACGCAAATGTTCGGCAAGTCGTGTTGTAGGGGAACACCTGGGTGTGGTCCTGCCAGGCATGGAGGTGAGCGGGTGACAGCAGGGCTCTTGGGAGACAGGGTCTCGCTGCCTTGCCTGGGATGACATTAGACTTCGAGCAGATGGAATACACACCATGCCTGGCTTCCTCAGAACATCTCTGTAGATTGTTGCCAGGGGGAGCAGGCCCACCAATGGTGCAAGGAGATTGTGTTGCCCTGAGAGGCATGGCATCAGCAGGTGCCATGTTGTGCACAGAGCCCAGCAACCCTCTGGTGCTTGGGGAGAGTATAGGCCGCCAGTATGTCCTGAAGTGCCACATGGATGGCACAGTTGTGACATATGTTCATCAGTGTTGGCTGGGCCTGGCTGGCATCCAGGCTGTGCCCGGCAGTGGAGAGATGACCCATGCAGTCCAGAGCTGGACATGAGAGGGCTCCTGGCCGCTGCCCTCCAGGGGCCTCCTGTGGGTCCTGCCTTGTGAGCCAGTGACCCGGGAGTCGTGTGCTCCTCTGCAGAGGTGCTGTGCCATAGGCCTGTGTGTCAGATACTTGGTGGGGAGATCATGGGTGGGTCATCGTGAGCCAGTAGGGAGGGCAGCTTGCCATGCAGCAGCTGTGGTGCTTATCCCAGTTAAAGTGCTTTGTTCAGGGCCATTTGGTAGTTGCCCCTTCTCCGCGGCTCATGGGTAGCATTTCTGGCCTCTGAGCTCTGGATACCACATGCTATTGATGTGAGGTCCCCAAAAGCTGCTGGGTTGTGTCCCGAATGGAACCCCCACACCCCCAGACTCACCACCCTTGGAGTCGCTACAGGGTGGTCCATAGAGTCAGTCCCGCTGGCGCCTGGGGTCTGAAGGCATCTGTGGAATGAGGGGATGGTGGCATGTGACAGCTGTCGGCTACGGGTGGGGCAGTCTTACCACATGGCAGGGAAATTGAGATGGCTCTCGGGAATGGTGAACTGTAACTGCCATCAGCCAGGTGCTGCTTCATGGAAGCTGCTCTGCCTTGGAAGGCCGCTGTGGTGTGACCAGGAATCTGTCACAAAGGAGTAGTGGGCCCCAGCTTCGGGCCAGCCCTTGTACCAGGTGCAGTACCAGTGCAGGCTGCAGGAGGTGGCCCACTTGTCTCCTCCAGGTTGTGTTTCACACAACTCGGTGAGCCCAGTCCGCATGCCCTGCTGCCATCCCCATGTCAGCCAAGAGCTGAATGTGTGCAAACCTTGGTGGGGAGAGGCCGAAGCTATGGCTGGGAGTTGATCAGGCCCTCTCCCATGAAGGAGTTCTGGCATTCCTAGGAGGCCTGTTGCTGTGCCTGCCCGGACCCGACAGAGCCCAGTGCCTTTGAGAACACTGCACTGCACCAGCATCTTGGCCCTGACCTGGCTCTGAGCAGCCCTCTCTTCTGTGCTACTGCTGGGCAGGGAAGCCTGCTATGTGCTTGTTTGCTGTATGCCCAGTGGGAGCCCAGTGGAGAAGCCTGGGCACCATGGCACTGTGGTGGCTCGTCAAGACAGTGGGATGGGGAACGGAATTGAGGCTTCTCTGTAGGTGTGGCCCCCGGGGCTGGAGTGGGCACTAGGCGCAGGGAACCTGGTGGACACAGAGGGGCTCTGCGGCCTGTGCGGTTGGTCTGGACTGTGAAGTGCACTGATAACAAATGGGGAGCGCTGTGGCCAGCGCCAGGCTGGCTTGCCAGGTGTTGTTGGTTCTGGGCATGGCCAGGACCTGAGGAACCGGCAGGTATATCATGGAACATTTTAGAAGCCATCTGTGATCTGGATGTGGTGGTGTCTGTGTAACCCAGCACTCCAAGGCTGAGGAGTGCAAATTCAAGCCCAGCCTGCACAATTAAGCTATAAAAAAGTACAGGGCTGAGGAAGTTCCTCAGTGCAAATGCCCTGGGTTCAGTCGCTAGTACCATGCACACAGTCACAGGACCACAGGCACAGGATGGAGGTGCTCGCGGGAGGGCAGCCTGCTCTGCCAGCCAGGGCTCAGGCCAGCAGGAAGACCTTGAGTTGGTACTCAGCTCGAGTGCTGGCCATATGCTGTACCTTGGCTCCCACATCTGTGGCAGCAACTTGCCCTGCCTGTCTGCAAGGCTCCTGAGCTCAGAACATTCTCAGATCTTCTCAGGACTCTGCTGGACTCGTTCCTGTCCCTTACTGCCCTGGGCAGGGTGTCATGTGGTCTGTGTTCCTCCTCAGGGCCACGCAGCGTGTGGGGTTCCAGCTCTCATGGCTGTAGCCAGCGTGACCCCCCCGGGCTCCCTGGACCTGCTGCAGCCAGGCTTCTCCAAGACTCTCCTGGGGACTAAGCTCGAGGCCAAGTACTTATGCTCTGCCTGTAAAAATGTCCTGCGGAGGCCCTTCCAGGCCCAGTGTGGCCACCGCTACTGCTCCTTCTGCCTGAACAGCATCCTCAGGTGTGCAGGCTGCTGCAGGGGTGGTGAGGGCGGAAGGATGGTGCTGGTGTCAGTATGGTTTGGAGGCTCTGGGTTTGGGTCCTCACCAGACTGCAGGCTGCATGGTTTAGTGTCAGTTACCTACTGTAGTGCTGCTGGGGGCCTGAGGGGCGAAGCACAGGGCCTGACCTCTTTGCTCTTGGTCACCTGGGTACTGGGAATCCCACTCCGCATGGCTGCTCTAGATGGCAGGGAGGATCCTGGGCTCCTGGGCACCAGTGTCACAAAGCTCATGGCCTCTCCAGAAAAAGCAGCTTGTCACAAAAGGAGAGTCCCTTGGCTGGGATGTGCCTCTCCTCACACCCTACCCTCTCGGGAGCTGCTATTTTCCTCTGTACTGTTACTGCACAGTGCTGTTGATTTCATTGAGGGGAATTTAAGAATTTGTGGTGTGCAGTTGTTTTGTAGACTGGGCAGTCAGTGATCATTTCTTTTTCATAGCAGGCTTCATAGGAGATTTTGTTTCTCTCCCCCAGGTCTGGGCCTCAGAACTGCGCTGCCTGTGTTCATGAGGGAATCTATGAAGAAGGTGTTTCTATTTTAGAAAGCAGCTCAGTGAGTACATTTCCTTGGAGCTACAAGTATTGATCAGAAGCATTTTAGGATTCCCTTTGTAATGTTGGTGACAAAACCTGAGGTGCCCCTAGCAGATGTGAGTGCTCAGGGTTTGAGAGGCCAGTGCACAGAGTGCGGGTGGTCCTCAGCGCCACCCTGTGCCCTCCATGGCCAGATATGGGCTGCACTTGGGGTGGCACTTGCTCCACAGGGGGCTGTTGGAGGAGGTTCAATCCAAGCACTGTTGCTGTTCCCAGGCCTTCCCAGACAATGCTGCCCGCAGGGAGGTAGAGAGTCTGCCAGCCATCTGTTCCAATGAGGGCTGCACCTGGAAGGGGACCCTGAAGGAATACGAGGTAAGACGGGTATCACTGTGTTGCTGTGGGCTGCTCTGAAGCCCCACTGGTCGAGATGCCACTCCCCAGATCATTGGTCTCCAGATCCACCCTCTGCTCCTTCTGGGCTGGAGCTGTCTGCTGTCTGTGTGCATTGAGGTGGCAGTGCCCCTTAGAAGGTGTCCATGTAGAGACCAAATTGTGCAGTTCACAGCCCTGCACTGTGAAGCCCAGTGCTTCTCCTCTCTGTGCCTCAGTGTCCTCGTCTGTCCACGGAGGTGCACTTCTCTCACACTGTGGCATGTGAGATTGGAGGTGCCTGTGTGTGAGGATGAGGACCTGGCCCTGTGCCAGCCGTAGGAGTACTCTATTTGCCTTGGCAGCGGATTTCCCAGTGATAGAGGGTAGCTTCTTCTGTGTTGGCACCTGCAGCTCTCAAGCTCCATGAGATTTTGTGTAGTGTCCACGAAGGATTTCTTGTGTTTAGCTTTGTTTTTGAAATGGGGTCTCCCTCTGGTATCTGAGCTGGCCTTGAATTCAACCCTCATTGTAGCCTACCAGGTAGCTGGGGTTGCGGGTTTGTACTGCTGTGAATTGTGTTGACACTGGAAGTCACATAGTTCGTGGTCGCATTTATTCTGTGCTCACAGAAAGACTCTGACCAGTGACAGAGGTAGCTGCAGGCTGGTACTGACGGTGCTGTGCTTTGTCCTTCTGTACCCACAGAGGCTGGTGTCCTGGGGACCTCAGTGTGACCCTCTTGTCACCCTCAGGCCCCGCAGCTTGTGTCTGCCATCTTATGTCTGCTACTCTTAGTTGATGCCCTTCACAAAGTTTCACCTCAGATGCTTGCCCAGGAACGTTTGCAGCAGCTCGCAGGTGGACCACCCTCATGTCCTCTGGCAGGGGGCTGTGCCTGTGATGAGACTGTCACATGCGCCACAGCAGGGCCCAGCCTAAGGAGCTCCTGCTGAGCGAGCCAGCCCTCTCGGGTCCCTGGACGTGGACAGGGGAGTCGTGGCTGGCCAAGCCGAAGTTGGGGTCTCAAAGTGGGGAGGTTCCTCAAGCATAGCCTGCCTGGCCCAGGTCAGGGCTGTAGTGGATGCTTTGCTCACACCCTGCTCTTCTAGGCCAGGAGGATCCAGGGCCAGGGCAGCCATGGCCCCCAGAGAAGCCTTGTGCCTAGGCAATGGGTCTGGGGTTCTCTGACTGAGCCAGACCCTGGGCAAGTTGGGATCCTCTCTCCTCTGTTCTCTGTTGTGTGTGTCAGGCCACACTTCCCCTCATCCTTTTTGTTTTCTTGATGCTGGGGTGGAAACAAGGCTTCCTGTGTGCTAATCACATATCTGCTGCTGAGCTCCTCCAGCTGCTCCCTCCAGTTCTCACTGGCTGCAGACTGTTACCTACACTGGGAGAGCAGCTCTGACTGCCTCCTGGGTGCATGAGGAGCTGCGCTGTCCGCCCTAGCACAGAACGTCCTGCTCAGTTCCGGAGACATGGGCCCAGACACTTTTCCTGGTGCTGTTCGTGAGGAGGGGAGCATGGCTCCAGATCTGCCCTGTGACGATGGGCATGTGGGGTGGGCAGTGGGGCACTGAAGGGGCAGGCAGGGACTCTGGATTCCCCTGAGGTTCCTGCCACCCCCAGGCCTGTGGTGTCCGTGAGGCCAGTGGCCATGTGGGCTTGGCTGGGGGCCAGGGACTCCAGTGTCACGTGGCCCCACAGGCATGCAGCCTGGAAAGTCCCTGGCTGGGTCCTGTGTGAGCTCTGGAAAGTCCCTGCAAGGAGCTGGGTTTGGGTGTGTGGGCAGGGCAGCCCTGGGCTGGGACAGCCGGGCCAGACCTGATTTATGGGTAAAACCTCTGCCCTGTGGCAAGTGGCAAGTGCCGGAGACTAGCCAAGCTCTGCCTCCTCTCAGGCCATCACTCAGCTGGGTGGGTGTTCCTGGGAAGGGCAACCCTGAGGCTAAACCTCTTTCTACCTGATGGTCTGAATTACTTGAAAAGTTTGGAAAAGTGGGAAAAGATCCTTAGTCTTGGCTGAGGTTTTCCTTCTTGGTGATGTCTGCATCTAAGAGCGCGGTAGTTGTACAGCCCAGTCCAGCATCCCTGCCTCCTGGTCATCCCAGCTCTGGCTGTGGGCACATGCAGGTGGTGGGCACCAAAAGTGCCCCAGGCCCAGGGTAAGGGACGCGTGTGGGTTTAGCACGGGTTCTCTGGAGACTCAGTTATAATGGCCCTGTTTGCTTAAAAAGTTGAGTATGGATTTTTCTGACTTGTGCGTGTGGGGTCGGGGGGACCCGAGTGTGAGGAGGTGGGGCGTCTGCGGAACCCCGAGCGCAGATAAGCCATCGCCTCTTCTCACCTCTTGAGTATCTTACTTTACTGTGGTGCTGGGAATCCAGCCCCGGCTCCCACACGCTAGGCTCACAACCCTGACCTGCTGGCCCAATCCAGAGAGTCTTTTATTTTACCAAAACCTTAGAACAGTGCCTGCCCCTGCCTTGTGCTCACCTGTGCTGCACCACTGAGCCACACCTCCAGCTCAGCAGCAGCCTTTAGTTCAATCCTACTTTTGCTCCTGTTTTTGTGTTTCGTTGTTCGTGGTACTAGGCATTGAACCTAGGGCCTTCGCACTGGGCTGTATCTCCAGCCCTCTTTTCATATTTTATTTTCAGACAGTTTTCTAGCCTCAGTCTCCCACAATACTGGGTTAATAGGGATGTGCCACCACACCCTTTTATTTTTATCACAATTTAAAAAACTTAGCTAAGAGGCTAGAGATGTAGCTCAGTGGCACCTGAGTTGGATCCCCAGTACCAAAAAAAAAAAAAAAGCTTAGCTAAACCTGCTCCGACTCTTTACACCTGCAGTGACCACAGCACACTCCTTGCAGACTTGCCTGGGGGCTCCCGTGCCTGCCTGTCCCTCTCTAGCTGGCGGAGGCCTGGTGTCCTGTGTGGTCTCTCTCTGGTGCAGCACCCAGAGGTTGCAGCTGACCTCTTGGCTTCCCAAGGGTGTCCAGAACCCGGCCCCTCCCTTTGTCACCACTTTCCTGGTGGCTGCCACTGTGTGCCTTGTCAGTGGAGCTTCAGTGGGTCCCACTCTTTTGTGGAGTGGCAGCCAGCTGCCCTTGGAAGTTAGGGCAGGTCTTGTCACCTTTCTGTCCTGACCCTGTGGCATGGGGCCATCCTGTGCTCTGTCCAGGTCCCTTAAGACTTTCCATGCTGCCCTCCTTTTCCCCAGATCTTGCCCGACCCTTCAAGGCCACTGAAGGTTCTTGGCTTCTTTAGACCGCCTTAGGGAGCCTCCCATCTCTTGCCTCAGGTAGTCAGCTCCTCCCACTCACCCATGTTCCCAAGTGCTGGGAGGCAGGGGTGGGCTGCAAGGTCTCATCTTTCACACTGGCCTCTTGGCCCATCATCCTCAGCAGATCTCCAGGACACCATCCTATCCCCAGGACCTGGCTGGCCGTCTCATGCCCTGGGTCTTTGCTGGTGACCATGCCAGGGTTCCAGTGCTGCAGGGGCAGCTACCTCCACAGGTCTGCGTCTCCTGTGGCTTTCCTCTGCCTCCCACACCCCATCTAGCCCAGGAGGTGCCTGAGCCACTTCCTGGGCCAGGGGCACAGCTATTCCAGAGGCTGAGGCAGAGACGTGCTGCTACGGGGTCCCCCCACCTTTGTCTGGGGCAGGGGTCAGTGTCCCCGGGCTAGGAGTGCAGAGGGGAGGACATGTCAGCCTGGGGAGGCCTAGGTGCCGTATGGGGCGCGGTCTCCAGGGTGGGAGCAGGGCACGCAGACTCCAAGCATTGCATGTGCCATGGCTGCCTGACGGCCCGCGTGTGCCCTGCTCACACCTCCTTCTTGTGTTGCCAGAGCTGCCATGAAGGACTCTGCCCGTTCCTGCTGACTGAGTGCCCTGCGTGTAAAGGCCGGGTCCGCCTTGGGGAAAAGGAGCGCCATGCTGAGCAGGAGTGCCCGGAGCGGAGCCTGGCCTGCCGGCACTGCCGGGTGCCCTGCTGTCGAGCGGACCTGGAGGTGTGCTGGGCACAGGGGCCTGTGTGGTGGTAGCTGCACTATGGGTGCAGGGCTCAAGTTCGGTGCTGGTGTCAGAGCTGTTGGCCCCTCGGCGCTTGTGTTTGTGGGTGTCAGTGCTTCCTGAAGCATAGTGTGGAGGGTTCTTGGAGGCACTGGGCTCAGGTGTTCACCACGTCAAGGAGTGGCAGTGTCACCGTCCCGGGCCAGTGTGTCCTCCCTAGACTATCAGCAAACAAGCCTGACTTCATGTCATTTCATCGGAAATGGCAGGGGATGTGTTTCTGAAGGGTACAGAGCGGGCCAGGGATTTAGCTCAGTGGTGCCAGCACCTGCCTCGCAAATGCAAGGTCCCAAGTTCGATCCCCAGTACCAAAAAACGGGCACAGAGCTACCACGGTGTCATGGCCACACCAGCCAGCTTTACCCAAAACCAGCGCTGAGAGTGCATGGCATTTTGTGGCTGGGAAGAGAGAGGAAGCAGTGGGGTCCCCTGTCGCTGGGAGGCTGTGACCCTGGCGACCTGCAGACCTTCCTTGAGGCCACAGCTCCTGAAGGTCCACCCCTCCCCGTCAGTTGCACGGGGGACCGGCCCATTACACATGGCCTTTGGGGGACACTTGTCCAGCCCACAGTGGCCACGTTAGAATCTCGCTAGCTTTCCCAGCCCTACTGTCTGTAAGTGCCCCACAGGGTCCCCCTTTGCATCTGTTGAAGCAACATGTCAGGTCACCCTGTCTTTAATGCTGCCTATGTGGGTGTTTGCTCTCAGGGCTATTTATTACCGGGTTGTTGGGTTTACTGCTGTGCCCACCTCTGCCACAAGGACAGGCCTGAGCAGAGCCATCGTGCTGGGCATCTGCAGCAGCATGCTAGGCTGTCAGATGGTATGGCCACCCGACCCTGTAGTCAATGTGTTTTGCCCACCTCACACCATCCTGCTGGCACTGCTGTCTGTCCTTGTGGGTGCCCTTCTTTTCAGGCCAGTGGCAAAGTGGCTGTTCCACTTTCCTGCCCTCTGCAGTGGCCTTGTCTCATGTGCTCTGGAAGTGTGGCCCAGGAAAAAGTCGTACAGTGCTAGCTCAGGGTGCTGGTGGGTACTGTGCCTCTCTAGAAGCGCAGTGGGGCCACGTGTGGGTCAGGCTCTCCTTGTGCACAAGCCCTCTTCCATCTCCCCGCACCCTGTCTAACTCTGCCTGCTCCTCCTTAGGCACACCACGAGGTCTGTCCCAAGTTCCCCTTGACCTGCGAGGGCTGTGGCAAGAAGAAGATCCCTCGGGAGAAGGTAACATGGCCCGAGGGCCTATGCCGATGCGTGGTGGGGTGGGGGTGGGGGTGGACCTCTGACCTCTGCCCAGAGGGACAGAACAGTGCTAGGAAGCTTTCCTGTTGTGGGGTTGCCAGATGTGTGTGTCACTCGGGCGTGGCAGCCACAGTTCTGCGGGGCCAGGTGTGAGCCAGGCAGTCAGATGCCGCGCTGGAGCCAGTGGAGCCAGATGTGAAACTTGTCATCTCCAGCTGCTGCTGTGAGGGGCTTTGTTACAGACCTGACCAGGGTCTTTTTGAAGCGATAGGGTGTGGAGAGGTCCTCAGTGCCTGTGATGACAACGGTCACGCCTTGGGACAGGGCGTTGGATGTCCTTGCTCCAGCTCCTAGGTGCCCATGGTGAAGGTTGTTGGCATGCAGTGATGTGTGTGTTCCCAGGCCTTGTCCCTGGTGGCAGGTGGGAGGGGCGGCTCCCAGAAGCCAAGGTAGGAGCCAGTGTGGTGGCACTGGGTGACAGTCAGGGTGATGCTAGTGGTCAGTAGGCTGTGCCCAGGCTGCAGGCTTGGCCAAGCATGTGTGCTTGGTGGTCCGTTGGCTTTTTCCTGTCTGGTTTGCTTTAGTTTGTGTACAGATCACAGCCTAGGTCCTGGAGCTCCCAGTCTGAGCGGAGTGGGAGAGGGGCCTCTGCTGCCCTTATCCAGTCGTCCTGCATCCAGGTCCTCCTGTGGCTTTGGGCCAAGTGCCCCCTCAGGTGTCGTGTGGCCTTCAGTGGTGGCTAAGGTGGCTCTCAGGCTCAGTGTTAAGTTCAATCTCTGCTTCTTTTTTTTTTTTTTTTTTGTACTGGGGATCGAACTCCAGTCCCTGTGCTTGTGAGGCAGATGGCAGTACCACTGAGCTATATCCCCAGCCCTCCACTTCTTTTTTTGAGGGGGCCGAGGATTAAACCCAGGGCCTTTGCTCTGAGCCACCTACCTAGGCCTTTTCAACTTGTAGTTATCCTGCCTCAGCCTCTCAGAGTGCTGGGATTACAGGTGTGCGCCACCACACCCAGCCAGGCTCCAGCTCTTGATAGGATCTTGCTCAGGGGCTGTGGTGGACGGGACAACCCTTAGGAGGTCAGGACACCAGCCTGGTGCCCAGTGCCTCAAGGCTAAGTGCTGGCAGGTGTTGTCCCTGTCGGCTGTGGCCTGTGGTGTCTCTGCAGTGTCCTCCACCTGGCCTGTGCTCATCCTGGCAGGTCTGGTACCTGGAGATCAGGACTGGTCCTCTCCCTGTGGTTTTCTGGGTGGTGTTTGTGTTGTTTCAGTACTGGGGCTTGAACCTCCCGTCTTGTGCACATGAGGTGCGTACTCCTTGGCCCCGATGAGAGTTCCTGCTGTGGGCTAGGTTTGGGGTCCAGGCACCGTGCAGTCCTCCTCCCTCGTCGTGTCCTGGGCGTGTGTCTCCCCGTCTCCTCTCACTGGCCCTGTGTCCCATGCGCACACATCCCTAAGACTGATGGCAGTGGTGGCACAGCTGCTTTGCAGGACCTCCCCATACATAAGCTGCTCTCTGGGGCAGCCCGAGACGGCAGCCCTCTGTACAGAGGGTGCGGGCTTTGTCCTGTGAGAGGCTTTGGGGTCAGTGTGGCAGGGATGAAATGGACTGGGACCGAGAAGGACGGCCCTGGGACTTCATCCCCTTGCCCCTCCAGTTTCAGGACCACGTCAGGACTTGCGGCAAGTGCCGGGTCCCCTGCAGGTTCCACGCTGTGGGCTGCCCTGAGCTGGTAAGTAGCTCCCTTGCCCGCCTTGCAGCACCAACCCCCAGCCCCAGCCAGCTTCATCTGCTCCCGTTCCTCACCACCACCCAGCTCTGGAACTGCTGCACTGAGCCTCCCTGGATGATGCCAGTGGACTCTCAGTCACTGTGGCCAGCACTCTGTCCTACTGTCCTGTGCCCCTCGCTGTCCTCTCATCTTGCCCAAAAGAGGAAGGGGCACTGTCACTGTCCAAGTGTCCAGCCAGAGCCCCGGGTCCAGAACTCACGTCATCCCCTCTTTACCCCACTTGCGTCGCAGCTGCTCCCTAACTGTCAGCAGTGGTCCTGCCCTCCCCTTCCAGGTGCTTGACAGGTGCTCCTGCCCCTGCCACCTGCTGTGGCATTTACACGGGAAGTCAGATGGGTCACAGCCTTCTTCCAGCCCTCCAGCCCTGTCTTCACACCCTGCTGCGATTCACAGTTGGCCCATGGCCCCCCAACCTCTGCCTTGCCCTTCTGGTTTTTGAATGTCTTTAACATTTTTTTATCTTGTTGCAGAAGATTGAAAAAAACTTAGTTGAAGTTAGGCATCTTTAGGGAAGCCTGGCTTCTAGCTCTGTTTTCCACTTTACCCTGAGCGCGGCTCTTTATTTCTTTTTTTTTTTTTTTTTTTTTTTTTTTTTTTTTTTTTTTTTTTTTTTTTTTTTTTTGGTTTTTTTTGGTTTTTTGAGACAGGGTCTCACTATGTAGTTGAGACTGACCTGGAACTCACTATGTAGGTCAGGCTGGTCTGGAACTCACAGCGATCCTCCTGCCTCAGCCTCCCGAGTGCTGGGATTACAGGTGTGAGCCACCATACCCAGCAAAAGAACAGCTTTTTTAATGGTGCTTTTCCCCTGCCCATCCATCGGTGATGTTTTGCTGTGCTGCCCAGGCTGGCCTCAAACTCCTGGGCTTATGTGATCCTCCTGCCCTACCTTCCTGAGTGCTGAGACTACAGACACACGCCACCACGCCCAGCTTCGTTTCCATTTTTGAAGCAAATAAGTTATGTAAGAAGCTTTATCATTTTGAAGCACACTTGATTGTTAGACAGTGGCAGGTTAAATGCTGTCGCGCAGACCAAGGAGGACAGAACTGACTGAGCTGAGCTGTCGCCAGGAATCCTGGACACCTGTGCCCCTGTGGCTCCGACCGCCAGTGCGGTGAGACGTAGTGCGTAGTGCCAGCAGCCTCCCGCCTGTATCCATAGGTGGAAGCCGAGGAGCTACAGGGGCATGAGGGGCAGTGGTTGCGAGAGCACATGGCGCTGCTGCTGAGTGCCCTGCTGGAGGCCCAGACCCTCCCGGGGGGCCAGAGCCAGGCGGGACCCGAGCTGTTGCAGCGGTGCCAGGCCCTGGAGCGGAAGACGGCCACCTTCGAGAACATTGTCTGTGTCCTAAACCGGGAGGTGGAGAGGGTGGCTGTGACTGCGGAGGCCTGTACCCGGCAGCACCGGCTGGATCAGGACAGGATTGAGGCCCTGAGCAACAAGGTTGGTGGCACAGGACTGGCAACCACGACAGGAAGCCCAGGCAGCATAGGGCCCATGTGCTGCTGGCCTTGGGCTTTGACTCCTGCACTTCTGAGCTCTGGGATGGGGGCGCTCCTCGGGTTCATGGAGCCGGAGGGCTGACCTGACCTTCCTCGGGCTGTGCAGATGGGGCAGGCAGCTGTAAGAGGCTTGTGCTCCTACCACAGGTGCAGCAGCTGGAGAGGAGTATTGGGCTGAAGGACCTGGCCATGGCTGACCTGGAGCAGAAGGTCCTAGAGTTGGAGGCGGCCACCTATGATGGGGTCTTCATCTGGAAGATCTCGGACTTCACCAGGAAGCGCCAGGAGGCTGTGGCTGGCCGCACACCGGCCATCTTCTCCCCAGGTGCTGTCTAGAGCTTTCCAGTGCCCTGCTGGTCCTGCAGCCCCGAGGCTCCATGTCCCCTCACCTGTGTCCTCTAGTCCCTATGGCCTCATGGAATAGCTCCCCAAACAGGACTAGGGTCTCCCCGCAGCTGGCATCAGGAGCCTCTGTACCTCCTTGGGCAAGTTGGAGGCCATCTCTCCTCAGGTGGGAGTTAGGACACGAGGGCAGTGGGTCAGGCCGGTTGCACACAGGGGTGCCCTTGTCACCCCCAGATGGCAGAAGGCACAGGGTGCCATGGTTTGGGTGGTGTGGCATGGCTGCCAGGGAGGATGTGGCTCTAGAGTGTTGTGCTGAGCTGGTCTGACCTCTTCCTGGAACGGATGTTTCTCCCTTCACCCCTACCTTTGGGGTCTCTGGAGGTGGCACTAGCGTCTCCTGTGGGGACGACTTCTTAGCATGCTGCCCAACTGCCTTCTGGGGTGCTGCAGAGCCCCCTTGGAGACTCAGCCGCGCCTGTGCGTGCACTTCACCTTCGCGCTGACTCTGGGAGCTGCTGCCAAAGCAGTGGGTTCTGTGGTCGAGCAGAGACACTTGTGGCTGCTCCTGGCTGGGGTCACCTTGACACTGCAGGGGCCTGGCTGGCACCACTGTCATTCTGTATCGACATGACACATCCTGGGGGCCGATGGGAGGATGGCCATACCCCAGGGGCTGGTGCCTCCATCAGGACTCTGATGGCCAGTTCTCTGGGGCCCGAGCTCCAGCTCAGCAGGACTTTGGAGGGGCCAGCAGTGATGGGGGCCACTGCTTCAGGGCCTGGTATGGTGCAGAGCAGAGCACAGCCAAGCTCTTCATGGGGAGGAGCGAAAGCAGAAGGGGTACAGAGCCCCACTGGCTGAGGAGCCCCAGGAGGTCATGCCTCCTTAGGCTTCCACGCCTCCCGGCAGGCCGGCCATTCTGGGGGCATTTCGAGTCACGTGAGATGCATGAGAGGAGTCTGTTAGGGGAACCGGCCACCAATGTGGAGGCTGGGACACAACAGGCCACCTGGTGGCCGGGGACCCTGGATGCTGACAGTAAAGTTCACTCCAAGTCCAGTGGCCACAGGCAGGGAAGATGTGTCCCCACCCCAGGGCAAGGAAGCCAGTGTGCCTTTCTGCTTTTCTCACTAGAGCTGCTCCCTGGAGGTGAGCGCTCTCACCCGGCACAAGGCCTGAGCAGCTCTGGGTGTCCCCACTCAGGCAAGCTGCCTCGGAGGTCCTCACTCCTTCCCCACAGGGCAGTGTGTCACTGTCTCTGCCCCATCCCCTCCACCTTTTCCTCCTCCTCCTCCTCGCTGCCCTGAAGGTCCCTGGGCAGGAGCCGTGCCCTGCCTGTCCTCACAGCCCTCTGTTGCCCCCAGCCTTCTACACGAGCAGGTACGGCTACAAGATGTGTCTGCGTGTCTACCTGAATGGCGACGGCACCGGGCGGGGCACACACCTGTCTCTCTTCTTCGTGGTGATGAAAGGCCCTCACGACGCCCTTCTCCGCTGGCCCTTCAACCAGAAGGTGTGGCGCTGTCCAGGGGTAGCAGGGGCACCTGGGGTCTGAGGGGAGCGGTGAGGTGGCCCAGGAAGGGGTGGCACCATTACTGCTCCCCAGTGGTCTGCTGTGTGCCACGGCTCGTGCCTGCTGACTGCAGTGCCAACCTGGGGCTCTAGGACTAAGCTTAAGTCTGCTCTGAGCAGACCTAGAAGCCACAGAATAGCACAGGTGCAGGCAGCTGGGCCTGGCTAAGGCCTGGGTGTCCAAGCTGGAGACGCAGGTGCGGCCCGTTAGCTGTGGCTGCGGGCCGGTGTGCAGGAGGGGCTCTTTGGGGTGCTTGGGGCTCAGGCTCGGACCTCCTGGGCTTTTAGGTGACTCTGATGCTGCTGGACCAGAACAACCGAGAGCACGTGATCGACGCCTTCAGGCCGGACGTAACCTCCTCATCCTTCCAGCGGCCGGTCGGCGACATGAACATCGCCAGCGGCTGCCCCCTCTTCTGCCCCGTGTCCAAGATGGAGGCAAAGAACTCCTATGTGCGGGATGATGCCATCTTCATCAAGGCTATCGTGGACTTGACGGGGCTCTAGCCACCCCTGCCTGGCACAGTGCTGAGGGAGGAGCCACCGCGGGGCCAGGGTCCTGCACACAGGTGTGCAGGAGGAGCCGTCGCCATGCCAGCAGCAGAGACGGAGCAGCTCTGGTGAGCCCTGGCCTTTCTGGAAGGGCCCCGTGTGGGCACCAGCGCTCCTGGCCTGCTCCTGCTGGAGGAGTATCTGCGGCTGCCGGGAGAGCGGCAGGGTGGCCCTGGAGCACAGGGGGCTGAGCCCCCGCATGCACTGGACAGGAGTGGCCGTGCTGGCCCTGGGGCTGTACCCTGGGCTGAGGAGCTGTCGGTATTAAACCTTTGAGACCCTGTGGTGAGTGGTGTCCATCTAGCTCTGGCCTGGGCAGTGGTGACCTTTTTCTCCCACTGCCTTCTCTGTCCCTGTGTGCTGTGAGCTCCTGGGGATGCTGTGAGGCCAGGGTAGCTGCTGGGAAGTGTAGCAGAGTGAGCCCTTGGCCTGACCACGGTGGCACCCCAGTAGGTGGGAGTGACCTCCGCATGTCCCGTACCCGGGTGTCAGCAGGTCATCTGCCGCAGTGGTGAAGCATGGCTGGTGCGTGGACAGTGGCCACAGCCCCACCGCAGCTCTCCTCGTGCTCTGCACAGGGTTTGGAGCTCCTGTCCGCTGGCTGTTTACCCTTGTGCCTGTCTCTCTGTCTACAAACAGTATTGAAAATACGCAGCGGTTGTACCCTGAGCCATTGGCAGGTGCTGGGGTTGATCCGGTGATACCCACTGCCGTGTTCCCTAGAGGAGACACCCCATGTTTTAAGATCTCTGGCTCTGAGTTCTTCCTGCTGACCTAGAAGTAAAGTTGGAGGCCCTGGCCGAACCCCAGAGTGCGGCCTGGGCTCGAGGGCTGCTGTGAGGAGTGGTCCCTGTCCTCATGACCTGATTTCTAGGAGGCAGCAGGCCAGGCACCTCTGCTGGGCCCAGGCCCCTTCCAGGTCTTCCCCATGGAACTGCAGAGTAAGTCAGGGACAGCAGACCTGGTTTCCACTTTACTCGGGGGATTGAACTCGGGTCCTTGCACTTGCAAGGCAGGCCACCGAACTGCTGAGCTAAATCCCCGGCCCTCATTCATTTTTTTGAGAGAGGATTTTGCTGTGTTGCCCAGGCTGGTCTTGAGCTCCTGGACTCAGCAGTCCTCCTGCATCAGCCTCGCAAGTAGCCGGAGCTATGGGCACTGCCCACATCCTCAGGTGCACTCGGCAGGAACTCGGGTCCTTGCACTTGCAAGGCAGGCCACCGAACTGCTGAGCTAAATCCCCGGCCCTCATTCATTTTTTTGAGAGAGGATTTTGCTGTGTTGCCCAGGCTGGTCTTGAGCTCCTGGACTCAGCAGTCCTCCTGCATCAGCCTCGCAAGTAGCCGGAGCTATGGGCACTGCCCACATCCTCAGGTGCACTCGGCAGGGTCAGAACTTCTTGCAGTCACGGGTGTCTTGCTGTGGTTTTAATTTTCATTTTGTAGGTGTCGAGGGAGGTGGCTGTCTCTGGTGACGTCAGTCACCTTTTGCCTGTGTTTAAACTACACATTATCTTCTTAGATTGAGTGTGAGAGTTACCTGCATATTCTGGGTACAAGGCCTCTGTTAGGCGCAGGGTTTTCAGGTATTTCCTCTAAGACTGTACTCAGATTTCACCCTTGGAGCAGTGTCTTTTATCTGGAAGTTTCCTCAGCTTTGCCTTTTGTGGATTGTGCTCTAAACCATGTCCCAGGACTCTTCCTAACTCAGATAGTGATGGTCTCTCTTGTGAGCTCTCTACAAGTTCTACACATTGCGCACTCTGCACGTAGGTCTGCAGTCCGCTTCTGTGAGAGGTGTGAGCTTCAGGGGGCCGCTGTTGCAGGACCACAGATGGCACAGTGCCCATGGGCTGGCCACGGCCTCTCCCTGGATGGGTCTGCCCTGTGGGGAATGATGATCTTTCTCTGTTTTTATAGATTTGTGAGGAGGTGATTTTTCACATTTGTATGATCTGCTGTGTTCTGCTAATCTGTTATCTGTTCCTTTACCCATAGCTTCTCTAATTTAAGCTTGGCTTTCACAGCTGTTTTAGCTATGTTTGCTCCTTTGCCAGTGCATGCAAATGTCGGCATCAGAGGCTCTCTGTAAGAAACCCCACCAGGTCTTATCAGGCTCATGGGAGTCGGGGTTTAAGGGTCCTCTGTCCACGGCTCTCCTGGCCTCATGCACCTCCATACTCCGAGTGGCTCTGGGAGGTGGGTGTGTGTTTATCTATGGACTTAGGGTTTTTTGTTTTTTATGTGGTACTGGGAATCAAAACTCAGGACCTTGAGTTTTTGAGGCAGACACAGGGCCACTGAGCTGCATGTACCCCAACCCAAGTTAGGGGTTTATTTATAAGCAATCGTGTGTGAGAGCAGCAGATTAGTTTTGTCTTTTCCAGTCTGTGACCCAATTTCTTTTTTTTAATAAATTTTATCCCATCCCCCATCCCCTTCCTCTCCCTATGTACAGAAGCTTTGTTTCCATGTTTTTCCATTTTCCCTCTTCTTTCCTTGTCCCTTCCTTCCTCCCTCTCTTCTCCCTGGTTCCTCTTCCGATCTGAACACTTTCTTCCCATTTCCCAACATTCATTGTACATCTCTGTCCTTATTTCTACTTTGAGTTTCTTACACCAGGAAACAAAGCAGTATTTAAACGTGTGTATCCAGGTTATTTCATGTAACGGTGTGGTATCAACCCATTTAGCTATAAATATCTGAAGCTCATCCTTTATGGCAGAGTGTATAACAAAAAAATACATCTTGGGCAGGGGATGTAGCTCAGTGGTACTGGCACCAGCCTCACAAGCACAACGTCCTGAGTTAGATCTCGGGTACCGGAAAAACAAAACCAAACCACATCTTTATCCATTTGTCAGTTGATGGTCATTTGGGTTCCAATGTTTAGCTATTACAAACTGTGCTGCTGTAAACATGGGTGTTCATACATCACCGTGGCCATGAGATTCTTTTTTTGGGGGGTGGTACTGGGGATTGAATGTGGGCCTTTGCACTTGTGAGGCAGTTGCGAGAACCACTGTGTCAAATCTCCGGCCCCATACATCACTGTGGTATGATGCTTTTAATTCTCTCGAGAAGATGCCAAGAAGAAGTATACCTGGGGCAAATAGGACCTCTGGTTTTAGTTTCTTGAGAAATCTCCACTGTGATTTCCACACTGGTTGCACCAGTCTGCTTCCACCAGCAGTGGAGAAGGGTTCCTTTTCTTCCACAGCCAAGCCAGCATTTGTTTTGCTGTTGGTTGATTTCTTTTTTTTTTTTCTTTTTTCTTTTTTTTTTGGTACCGGGGATTGAACTCAGGTCCTTGCGCTTGTGAGGCAGGCCACCGAACCACTGAGCTAAATCCCTGGCTCTGTTGTTGGTTGATTTCTTGACAGCAGTCATTTTTTCTGGAGTAGAATGGAATCTGAGCGTTGTTTTAATTTGCATCTCTTGAATAACTGGTGACATTGAACATTTTTTCATATATTTATTTGCCATTTCTAATTCTTATTGGAGTAATACCTTTTTAATCACATGCCCAGTTTTGCATTGAGTCTTTAAATTTGGGCTGTGACCTGTGGGCTGAGACATCCTGTGGGGATCTGACAGGCATTGTTGGAGTGGATGCCCTTGCGTTCTTCCTGGGCTGGGGAAAGCATCCCTCTCTCCATGGCCGGCAATGCCCCTGCAGAGTGCTTTGTTGGTTTTCTGAGCAGGCTAAGCGGTTCCCTGGTCCTTGAAGTTTGCTGAGGCTTTTGGACCCAGGGCCTCATGTGTGCTAGGTGTGTGCTCTGGTGCTGAGATGCTTCCCATCCCTTTAAAAAAAATTGGCCAGGCATGAGATGCACACCTGTGGCGCTCTTCCAGCGTCCAGGGACTTGCAGGTAGCCATTCCTTTTGACCATTGGTGGTGTGGCACGTGTGCTCTGGAAGTTTGCCATCGCTTCTCCTGATGTACCGTGTGGTCACAGCCATCCGTGCCAGGACTGAGGCAGCCTTGCTGTCCTGCAGTAACCCGCCTTGGGCATGGCGTGCTGCTGTGGGTGGAGCAATGTACGTTAAGGATCTCACGTACGTCTTTGCATGGGAGCCCCACTTACCCATGGTTTCGCTTACCCTTGTTTAATTGCAGTCCAAAACTAGTTAATGGAATTTTCAGAAATAAACAATTAATGGTTTAAATTGCGCAGCACTCTGAGCAGTGTGGGGGTGTATCGTGCCATCCTGGCACCGGTTATGGCTTCGTCTCCTTCCCCACAGCATACACCACCCTCCTGTCAGCTGCTCGTCACTCTCGGCTGTGGCATCACAGCACTTTTGGCTGGGGGCCTAGACCAGCACAGGGTGGTGCTGCTGGAGACTCACATTCACCTGGTGGTGCTTCCTGAAGGAAAGGTGTGGTGCAATGTGACTGCATCATGTGACTTATTCTGTCATTGTGGTTGTGTGCCTGATTTATAAATAAGCTTTACTGTAGACACAAGTGCTCGTGGCCACGGGCTTGTCCTGTCCTCTGGCACCTGCTGGGCATCTAGGGACATTGCCCTGCAGATAAGGGGACACTGTGTTGTCTTCGGTGCTGATGTGCAGACTCTGCAGACAGAAGTCGGTGTCAGGAGTGAGGGTGTTGCTATAACCTGTGGCCTGAAGTGTGGGGATGGCCGTGAGACTGGCTAGTGGTGGGACAGGCTGGAAAAAGCAGGGTGCGGTCAAGGCCATCTGCTCATTCTGAGGAGGGCTCAGCAGAGCTGGTGGGGAGCCTGCAGCTCCCCGGGGATGTCAGGGTCATGTGTCCGTGAGCAGGGTAGAGGGTGTACAGGAAAGGCCTCAGTCGGAAGCGAGATCAGGGTTGTGGAAATGAGCAGCATGCTTTTTGCAGTCACGAGGAGCCTGTCTGATCCTGTCTGTGCCCGGGGCTCTGGGGTGGTAGCATTTAAGAGGCCTGAACTCAGGTGTCTGGGGAAGAAATCTCTAAGCAGCAGAGCATTCCTGGTGCTGTGTGGCTGCTTTTTTGGTTTGTTTGTGTTTCATTATAGCAAGGTGCAAGGAGGAAAGAGATTATTTTTTTGTTTTTTTTGTTGTTGTTTTTTGAGACAGGGTCTCACTATGTAGTTGAGACTGACCTGGAACTTACTTTGTAGCCCAGGTTGGTCTCGAACTCACAGCAATCAGGAGGAAAGAGATTGTGAAAGCTCAGGCTTTACCTTTATTTTATTTATTTAAAATTTTTTTTGGAGGTCAAAAAGAAAACATTTATTTCTCAGGCCAGGGGAAAAGGGGGCTCACAACACCTTGCTTTGTTTTTGGAGGAAATCAAG